TCCTAAATCCCTCACCCAAATTCCTTGTTCCTTCTTCTCATTCCCAAGATTACACTTTAAAACCCTCTTCCCAATCCTAAATCCACCGGTTACTGATGGCATTCTTGGACTAAAATTTTGCAGCTGAAGGTGTGCAAATGAACTCGACTGCACAGTCAAATCCTAGCAAAGATGTGAGGACTCCACCTCTTGGTATCTCTGGTGGACTTGGTTTCCTAGATTTTTCCTAGTTGCTAGCCTAATGAACCCATTAGGAAAAGAAAAATGGAAGTATTGAAAATAAGAAAAAGAGAAAGACGAAGTGGGATGGGATTGCGCTGAAGAATACAAAGCTCTTGAGGATCAGTTGAAGAGAGCCCCTAGTCATGACTCCTACTCCATTGAAACAGTGGAACCCTCGTTGCTGAACTCGGATACGGGCTTTAAATCGGAGCCCCATCACACTGAAAACGATGATATTAGATTGGAGCTGACTCTGGGGTTCAATCCAGTGTTGCACAATCATCTATCCATAGTAATAAAGTTCTGTGATAGGGAAGTCTGATAAGAAAAAAATTGCAATTTTGGCGATTGCATACTAGTCCTTCTTTTCTCTTTTAAGGCATAATGTCCTTTTCCATTTTTCTTTTCCTAATGGTAGAGCTTATTTTCAATACTTCAATTTCTGTATTTCTTTTTCTTTTATAGAATTAGATAAGTATTGAAAATAAGAAAAGAAATGAAGAATTTGGGATGAAGGATTTATGTGAATTTTGAAAGGGATCAAATAAAAAAATAAAGTTTTGGGAAAGAAAATGAAGTGAGGTAGGGTAGGGTAGGGTAGGGTGGGGTGGAAAATAAAGTTTTAAAAGTTTGAAATTGTGGATGGTACATAAAAAAAAATTGGGTATAATTTGTAAAAGAATAAAAAGTTTAGATATTAAAATTGCAATTATTACTTTTCAATTTTGTCATTTTTAACAACAAATTTGACGGTAGGGAATTTTTCGCACAAAATGTTTCAAATAGGGGGGGTTTCCGTGATTTTTAATAGGTAAGGGGAATATCGCAAATGGAAACGTTTATAGGGGGTTTTCTGCTATTAATCCATTAAATATCAAATATAACAAATACTGAATTAGCGAGTAGAACGTTTGGATTGCATAGCAGACTTCCGATCATCATGAAGGGCAGTATCCTGGTCAATTTTCTTTGCTCGACGACTCCCAAAGTCTTCGTTGAATACCCAGTCTTCTTAGCTCCCTCAAACCTTGCTCAACTACAAGACAAAATTTATTTTTAGAATAAAAATAATAAACATATAAATGGACCCTTGAACAAAGTATTACATCAGCATAGTTGAATTTAAGAGAGAAAAT